GGGCCTTCGGTGGAGCTCCCTATGGGGCCACGAAACGTGTGAGGGGTGTGCCGAAATGGGTGCGATGCGGACGCCACTGGGGCCTTCGGTGGAGCTCCCTATGGGGCCACGAAACGTGTGAGGGGTGTGCCGAAATGGGTGCGGCGCCGCCAGCCACTGGGGCCTTCGGTGGAGCTCCCTATGGGTGCCTAATGCGGTGGAGCCCGGGGCCACGAAACGTCCGAAATGGGTGCGGCGCCGCCATGCGCCCGCAGCCACTGGGGCCTTCGGTGGAGCTCCCTATGGGGCCACGAAACGTGTGAGGGGTGTGCCGAATGTGTGCGGCGCCGCCATGCGCCCGCAGCCACTGGGGCCTTCGGTGGAGTTCCCTATGGGGCCACGAAACGTGTGAGATGTGTGCCGAAATGTGCCGAAATGGGTGCGGCGCCGCCATGCGTCCGCAGCCACTGGGGCCTTCGGTGGAGCTCCCTATGGGGCCACGAAGCGTGTGAGGGGTGTGCCGAAATGGGTGTGGCGCCGCCATGCGCCCGCAGCCACTGGGGCCTTCGGTGGAGCTCCCTATGGGGCCACGAAACGTGTGAGGGGTGCGCCGTGATAGTGGGAGAAGGGAGGAGGGAGGGAGGGGGCAGCGGGAGGAAGGAGTGAACGCGGGGCGCTGTCTCTTCAAAACGAGGACCCAACTCCACAGGATGGTTGGGAAAAACCAAGCGAAAACCCAACTCCGGGAAATCCTTATGTTCAAAAAAATACGCGGAGGGGTGCCCGCAATCTTCCGCACGCCATCAGGGGATGGAGGAGAGCGTATTCATATTGAATAATTGTGGAGTGGGAGGGTGGGCGGACCAGACCCCACCATCAGCAAACCAGCAACGGCAGGGCCCCACCACCACGGCCAAGCGTAGCACGCGCCGCTGTCCCAGCAGCGAATCCTCGGCAACTACGGGGCACGAGTCAGCGGGAAACGAAGGGAGTGTCCTCAGAGTATCCTGACACCCACAAAACGGTGGGTGCCTACCTACGACACGTCCGAGCGGCGGGGCCTCTGTACGTAGGCGAACACAAAGGGAGCGTCGGAACCAAAAAAACATCCCCCAAAAAACGCTCAGGGCAAATATCCTCCAAACACCGCTAGGAACGCACGTTCTGCAGGACCTCTGTCGTCCTGGGGCTGCATGGGCGGCCATGGCAGCAGCTGCATGCGCTGCTGGGGTGCGCTGCCTGTCTGAAGCTGCCGCGAGAAGGGATGCTCGGCCAAATCGTGCCGGGAAGGCTGGGGCAGGAGCTCCCACTCCGATTCCTCCCCTGCACCCACACACAAGTATAACTCACTGCGGCTGTCCTCATAGGCATGAGCTTCGTAGGTTTAGGGGTGCTGGTGGGACTGTGGACGGGCAGAGCATAAACGCCGAGCTTTCTTTGAGCACTTGAACTGTCAGCTGTTTTGAAGCAGTCTCCAAATCCGCCGACCCTGTCGGCGTGTCCGCGGGACTTCTCCCTCCGAGTCGTTCTTCTCCGTCGTCACATTTCCCTGCACCCTGCCCCTCAAGCCGATCAGCTCGAACGTAAACATCTGCCCATGTCGTTATAGTGTCGAAGAGAAGCCCCTTCCTCTTGATTCGGGCGGATGGTAATGGGGAGTGTCCTAAAGGGGGTGTAAAAAATTGCCCTAAGGGGCCCCTTTTGGGCCCCTTTTGGAGCCCCTTTAAGACCTTTTTCTTCACCCCTCATTGAGGTCATCCTCCATTACCACCCGGCCGATTGATCCCCTCACCGTCGAGGGGGGGGGGTCCTGGGGAGGGGTCTCGGGGGAGTTCCCGGGGAGTGTCCCTCGCGACGCGATCGGCCCCCATGAGGCTCCGCGAGGCCCCCAGGAGGGCCCTAGGAAGACCCAAGAGACCCCCAGGAGGCTTCCACCAAGGCGCTCCCGAAGACCCAAGAGGCCCCGCCCCCAGGAGGCTCCCAAGAGGACCCCCCCCGCTCCTCCTCGCCCGCCTGTACCATCTCCCTCCCTGCCCGCAATACAGGGTCGGCGCACCGGCCGCAAGGCCTTCACAATCAAGGAGCCTTGGTCTTGCGGATGCCTGAACACAGCTGAAGGAACTGAGCAGACGTAGCCTCAGACTACCATACGCAGCCAGACATGAACACGTCTCTGGCACGGGCACTTGTTCCAGGTGTCTGCCCGGTGAGATCCGCCTGGGATTTTACACTCAGCATCGTAATGATTACTTGCGCTTCTGGTATACTGGTGGCTTCGTCAGCCCGGGGCTTCGCAAGCCACACTTGTGACTGCATGCGGCTGTCATAAGAGCGCCTGAATGCTCGGGTCCTCCAGGCCCCTCCCGCGAAGATCCGCACCGTCAGGCAGAAACCGTCTTTATGTTGTCACTCTAGCACCACAATTACGAACCACATTGATTATGAGAGGTCTGAGAGATTCACGTGTCCTCCCAAACCCCCTCGCGTTGTGAAACAATCGCGGCGGGATTTGCTTTGCTATTTTCGGCCTCCGGGACCCTTAGCGGGCCTCGGGACCGTCAACCAACGACTCCAGATGAAAGTCCGGTCCAGGGGAAATGGTCCAGAACTCTGGGGGTCGACGTTGTGAAAAGAAAACGACGTCGGGGGTCTGGGCTGGCATTAGCTTTGTGCGCCAAAAACGGATGCATCCTGTGCCTGTCCAGGAAACAGCGTGTACCATCCACTGGCCACAACCACTCCCATCGTCCATAAGAGCCGAGGACGCAGGGTGAGACCAGAGGACGGTAGAGAACCAAATGAAGGAGACGGAATGGATGCAGGACGAGAGCGGAGGAACTCAGGCTGGAAGAGAACGGGGAAAACAAACAGAAATGAGGGTAACGGAGCAAGCAGAACAGGCAAGACCGATCAATAAGCAACTGAGCACAACAGAAAGACTGGAGGAGAGATCATGATTGAGAAGCAGGCAGAGAGAGAGAGAGAGAAAGAGTAGTAAGGGTAGTAAGTGTGGCAACAAATCTGCATGATGAGGTGTACCCTCAAAAACCGACGGGGCCGACATCAGACCGCCTCCTTGCAGTGACACGTTGCAGCATCAGTCAAAGAAGCAGCAGCATCAGCGGCTATAGAAACAGCAGCTGCAGCAGTACTTACCAGTGGCAGGTACAGCAACATTCACAGTCACAATGTTAGCGCCCAGGCAGTCGCAGCAGTCGTAGTGGCAGCGGCAGCTAATGTACCACTTACTCTTCGGGGGAGGGAAGAAAAGGCGCCTCGTGGGGAAGTCAACGAGTAAGGACAGCAGCGATGGCGATGTAAGAAAAAAGGGTAAGGTTCGCTCAGGCACTCCAGGTCGAGCACAGGGCGAAAACAGAAACGATAGAGGAAGACGTCGGACAGCGGAGTCTCTGCTTTTGCGCAATCTCTGGTGGCATGGCCTGAGGCTGCGCAAGACACACGAGGCGCTGATGTCGGATTGGAGCAACGGGCTGCCAAGAGCGAGACCATTGCACAAACACTGTGCTACATGAGCGGCCGCTCATACAGGGCGCACAGATAACCGTTGGAAAAAGCGCCTCGTGCACAAAAAAGAAGGGCGAATAAACACAAGGGAACAAACAATGGTGGACGGCTCGCTTTGTCCAAGCAGCCCACCCCAACAGAAACACGTGCCAGACGCGCACTGCATGTGAGCGAAAGCCTCGCTCGACTCAGATACGGATTGCGGCTCGCAGACTGTAGGATGCGGCACACAGTAAAGTACAACGCGGGAGGAGCGATTCTTGCGACACGCGTGTGGAGCGCAGGAGAGAAAGGCGGAATCGACGAGGGTGGGCCCGAAGAGGGGCACAGAGCAAGGAAGAGCAGAGGGTGGCGGGGGCCTACTCGTGGCGCCGCCTCGTGCCGCCTGCTGTCCTCCCCATTCCCCCGCGGCTGCCGCCCACCCTGCCGTCCTTCCTCGCCACGCCCTCCGCAGCTTCCTCCCCGGTCGTGTCAGCACCTTGCCGCTGGGCCCCTCCGCCAGGGTAAAGAAGTGCCCCACTCATTCCCAATCGTGTTCTCCTCCTCCTCCTCCTCCTCCTCCTCCTCCTCCTCCTCCTCCCTCCACCTTCCGCTCCCTCCTCCTCCTCCTCCTCCACCTCCTCCTCCTCCTCCTCCTTCTTCTGCTCCTCCTCCTCCTCCTCTTCCTCCTCCTCCTCCTCCTCCTCCTCTTCATTCTCCTCCGCCTCCTCCTCTCCTCCTCCTCCCCCTCCTCCTCCTCCTCCTCCTCCTCCTCCTCCTCCTCCTCCTCCCCCTCCTCCTCCTCCTCCTCCTCCTCCTCCTCCTCACCCATTCCTCCTCCTCCTCCTCCTCCTCCTCCCTCCTCCTCCTCCTCCTCCTCCCCTCCTCCTCCTCCTTCCCCCCTCCTCCTCCTCCTCCCCTCCTCCTCCTCCGCCTCCTCCTCCTCCTCCTCCTCCTCCTCCTCCTCCTCCTCCTCCTCCCTCTCCTCCTCCTCCGCCTCCTCCTCCTCCTCCTCCTCCTCCTCCTCCTCCCTCCGCCTCCTCCTCCTCCTCCTCCTCCTCCTCCTTCCTCCTCCTCCTCCTCCTCCTCCTCCTCCTCCTCCTCCCCCTCCTCTCCTCCTCCTCCTCCTCCTCCTCCTCCTACTCCTCCTCCTCCTCCTCCTCCTCCTCATTGGGCCCCTGGGGTCCAGCGCAGATCCAAGAAACCCGCACGGAACGCAAACAAATTCATGTTTATGCAAGTGTTTCTTCTCCGACCTATTCCTAGAGGTCAAATGTCTGAAACATCGGCTGGAATTGATATCTGCAGACAGGCAAACTCCAGCGGGGATGGCTCAGGCAGGGTTCGCCACTGGTTGTAGCAAGATGGCGGCATGCCGGCCGCCTCGATGCTTTCGAGGCGCCAGATGCCTGGGAAGGAGGAGGCAGACAAGGGAGGACGACGAGTGCGATGGAGGACGGGAGGCGTGAATCAAAACGCTGCAAGCGGCGTCCTCTGAGAGGAGCACGAGCTGCAACTCATTCCAGGTCCAGGGCTTGGCGGCCGGGCTTTTTCTTACGGACGCGCCGCGTGGAGAAGCCCGTCTTGCCAGCCTCGAGCTTTCTGCCTGGGGGCGAGCGGGTTAGCTAAGAGAAGACGCCCGATGCCCCTCCCTCCCTGGGCAGCGTCATGATGGCGGAGCGTGGTGCAGATCGCAAGGGTGTCATGTCCCGACTATGATCCACGCAAAAGACAGGGAAAGGCCGCAGCAGCTGTGGCCGCAGCAGCTGTTCAACACAAATCTCTGCAAATGTACTCTCGCCTGATGCACATTAGCTCTGGACGTGGCGTCAGCGAGAACAAGTGCCGGGATGAGGGGTGCGCATACTCTGGATGTGGCAATCATCGCCCCCCCCTGGATCCGCTCGGGGGGTTGGGCACGTGCTGTCGGAACGGGTGGAAGGGGGGGGTGGAGGAGGAGGAGGAAAAGGAGGAGAAGGTGGAGGAGGGGGGGGATGGGCAAGCTCCGACGGAAGGTAAATCGCCCAATCCTCGATTCATATCCCACCGAGAGTAGCCCGACACAACCCGTCGCTCCAACCTCCTGTCGAGATGCCGCGGAGACCCGTCCATGGCGTTCCAGAGCGCCCGCTTGTACGGAGGTGACCCCATACGTCGGAGGGGGTGCAGGGCGACGCGTGACGGCTGGAAGAAAACCGAGGAGGAGGAGGAGGAGGAGGAGGAGGAGGACGAGGAGGAGGAGGCGGAGGAGAAGGAGGAAAAGGGAGAGGGGGAGGAGGAGGAGGAGGAGGAGGAGGAGGAGGAGGAGGAGGAGGAGGAGGAGGAGGAGGAGGAGGAGCATGAGGAGGAGGAGGAGGGGGAGGAGGAGAAGGAACATCGGAATATCGGGATTCAACCAACTTCCTCAGCGGCAGGGGAGGAGGAGGAGGAGGAGGAGGAGGAGGAGAGGAGGAGGAGGAGGAGAACGAAGAGGAGGAGGAGGAGGAGGAGGATGAGGAAGAGGATAAGGAGGAGAAGGGGGAGGAGAAGGAGGATGGGGAGGAGGAGGAGGAGGAGGATGAGGAGGACAGGAGCGCCCTTCGAGCCGAGCCTCCAGCTTCGAGGATTAAATTCCCCCCCAACCCCCCACCCCCTGCCCCTCACCCTACCGCCCCCGTTCGCGTGGTTTCTGCGGTCGGGTCCGTTTGCTGAGCGTGTCGCGGCGGCGGCCCCAGCGACACGCTATGCCTTGCCAGCGGATAGCATGTCGATTGATGCCTGGGCATTGGGATGTGGTTTCCCTAGCGGAAGAAAAAAACACCCTCATGAGAAAGCCCTCGACGCGCGAAGCCCTCCTAGTGAACGCGCGGACAGGAACGACCGAACAGGTCAGGGCTGTTCGTAGTAAACACCCATGGTTGGTCAGCAACTGCCAGGTGTAGGGGGTCAGGGTGGTTTTTCGTCCCCTGGTGCTCACCGCCACGAGGCTCCTGCTGCTGGCCGAGGGTGGCCGCCCAACGCTGCGTTCCGGAAGCCCGGAAAGCCTAATTTCACAGTGCGGCCGAGGGCCTCGGCCTGGCGCGCGGAGCACCCAAGAGCTCTTCGACGTCCCCCACTGGCAGCGCGATCGAGCTGCCCAGGGACGGCTCACCTCTGGTGGTGCTGTGCCGTGCGAGGCGCACGCCGCCGCAGCAGGTCGGGCGCCGCTGGCCCGTGGCGGTGGGCATGGTGGCCGCGTGCTGGGAGGCTGGCATCGCCTGCTGCTGGACCCGCACGTGGAGCATGCGGAGGCTACGCAGCGAATAGCATCCGGAGGGCCACCGTCCATCCGGCCAGACTCGGCTACACGCAACCCTGGGTAAGAGTGACTTTTGGTGCCTGGTTTTTGGGGGGGCCGCGGGAGGACCAAACGCAAGCGCTCAAGACGCTGCTATCGCATCGCGTTCGGCGATCGGGAGCGCCCAATGGGCCCGCACCAAAGATCACTCCGGCGAAGGGTCACTCCTACGTGTAGTCGACATATGCAAAGAGCGAACGGTTGAAGGACGTGCGTTCACATGTCGGGCCGATTCCCGAAACCCTGAGCGCGAAAGAGCAAACCACGTCTCACTTTTGCGTCCGCCGCCTTCCGCCGACCCGCCGCTGGTGGACCTTCGCCGCCGTCCTACTTCTCGCTGCGGGCGCTCCATCATCTTCCGCCGAGGACGCGCCGAGGGCGAGGCCTGTGCTGGAGCGCGCCGGGGGTGCATCCAGCTGCCGCCCTTGCCAGACACACCCCACGCGCACCCGGCCTCCTGGCAGGCCCACGACGGGGGGCACAAATTCGGCGGCGAGCGAGACAGGGAAATGCTGGGTGGTGGCACGTGGCGTCTTAAGGTATGGAGGGCAAAACTGCGGAGGTACGTTGGCATCCCTCCCTGCGGCCGTCTTCGTTGGCCGAGGGGCCGAAGGAAGGGCCTCGGCCCCCCCCCCTGGCGTCTGACGCCGTAATGCATTGGTGCATTAGTGGGAGAGGGCGACCCAAGCGGCCCCTATGATGGCAGCCGCAAGGGGTGTGAGGCCTATGATGGTCCCGCCGCCTTCTGAGAAGGAGAAGACCTTCTCAGAAGGCGGCGGGACCCCTCAGAAGCCCTTGGGCCGTCTGAAAAGTGTGTGTTCTGTCTTCGGGGGAGGTAAAAAACTTCTCGGGAGGCCAGGGGACTTCCGAACCTTCTGCGCAGGCCTTCTCCTTCTCGCTTCCCCCCTCGCTGGCCGCCGAACACTGGACGCGCCCTGGGCGCCCACTTTCTACCACGCCGTGAGCGCGCGGCCCGCCCCTGCACGGCGGAGACCCTGCGCCACGGTGGCCGCGCGGCCCCGCCCCTGGAAGCCCGCAGAAGTCCGAGCGTCTCCCGGTGCCCCCGCGGGAGGCTCCCGCGGGAGGCCCCATATGGGGGCCTCACGCAAGGCCTCTCAGCGCCCGAGGCCCGAGCCCCGAGGCCCCTTCAGAGGCTCCAAAGGCGGCCCGAGTGAGGGCAGCGGCCGAGATGTCGCCGTCGCCGTCGCCGCCGCCGCCGCCTACGTCGTCTTCGTCGTCGTCGTCGTCGTCGTCGTCGTCGTCGTCGTCGTCGTCGTCGTCGTCGTCGTCGTTGACGCCGCCGCCGCCGTCGCCGCCACCGCCACCGCCGCCGCCGCCGCCGCCGCCGTCGTCGTCGTCGTCGTCGTCGTCGTCGTCGTCGTCGTCGTCGTCGTCGTCGTCGTCGTCGTCGTCGTCGTCGTCGTCGTCGTCGTCATTGTCGTCGTTGACGCCGCCGCCGCCGTCGCCGCCACCGCCACCGCCGCCGCCGTCGTCGTCGTCGTCGTCGTCGTCGTCGGGTGCCCGCCTGCGCGCGGAGAGCTGCTCACTGGCTCCGACATCGCCCGCTCGGGCGCGACGCCGTTCGCGGCCGCCTCCGCGCAGGCGGCGGAGTCCACACTCCGCCGCCCGCGCGGGGGCGGCTGCTGCTGCAGCTCCTCTGTGCGCGGCGGGGCGAGGGGGTGCGCGCGAGGGGGGCAGGGGAACAAGGCCGATCCCAACCACTTGGGGCCGATCCCAACCGTTCGGGGCGGATGCCGACCACCGAAGAGGAGCCGATCCTAACGGGAAGGAAGCCTGCATCAAGTCTACAAGACGAACGCCGGATCACGACCTCTGCAGAGCCTCCGCAGAGCCTCGATCGGCCCTGGTCGCGAGGGGGTGGCTGGTTGGCGCCGCACGCGAGAGGGTGGGGCGGCCCTGACAGCCGCGCGTCGCGAGAAAAAATCACGACGGGGAAATTGTTGCTCCTTCCGACCTCTGAGGGCCCTCGCTGGGCCGCAGGACCATCAAAAAACGACGCAGGAGGAGAAGTCGGTCCTGAGCATGCGCCGAGACCTCCGGGGGGGGCCCGCGCTGAAAAGAGTTCAGGCCTTGGGGGTCTTGGGAGGGGGGGTGCCCTCTAGTGAGGCAGGGAGCGCCTCGGAACTGACAAGCCCTTCTGCAGGCTGAGGCGCTCTGCGAAGCCAGCCGGTCCTATGCCGAGAAGCACCTGCCTGCGGAGGGAGCCTGCGCCCCATCACCCCCGCGGCGCGCGACGGCAGTGGGCCTCGCTGGAATGGTGGATGTCTCTGGACTGAACTCAGCAGGGGCCAACAGTCCCAGCATTCCTATAGGCCTACCACGGAATTTTCTTAGAACCCCAACATGATCTAACAACCGATGTTCTTAGAACAAAAACACGATGTCCTAAAACAAGACAGTCCCAGCCAGAAATGTTCTGATAGCATGTCCTATACCCCACATCAGGCTCTTAGAACACTGTTTGGTGGGCCTATAGGTACGCCCAGACGCTTCGCCACTGCTTGACTGAAGGGTGGGAACCGATGCTTGGAAACCGCCGAGGAGCGACGAACGCATGTGAAGACCTCGAGTCTCGAACTCGAACCGAGAGAACTGCGTGTTCCTGAAGCCGCATCCAGCCTAAAGGACTGCGCGTTTTTGAAGCTCGATGCGGCTTCAAATCGCAGTTCCCTGTCTAAAACCGATGTTGGAAAGCCGCCGAGACGCGACGAGAACCTTTGAAAACCTCGAGCCTCGAGCTCGAATCTGCTGTGCCCCGCCCGGGGTGTCCCGCACACCGCTGCCCCCACACCTCCGCGCGGGCCTGCGGGGGGTGCCTCTTTCTTGGTGGCCGGGCCGCCAGGACGGTGGATGCTCTCCTCGCGTCGTAACACGAGGAGGACGGGAGACTTTTGGCCGTTTTCGGCCTCGGGCGGCCCTCGCTGGGCCTCAGGACCGTCAAAAAACGACTCGGGACGAACAACCGGTCCTGGGGAAAGGGTCGGGACTTCCAGGGGCCGAGCGTTGAACAGATCAGGACGTCCCACGTCTGGGAGGGAAGCGGATACTGGACCCTTTGGTGCCTCCTTCCAAGACCTGTCTTTCAGCCTGGGTAGTTCTTCCGTGGCAACATCCATCTGTCCCGGTTCGCCTGCGCACGCACCGTTCGCGTCACGAGCAAGGTGAAACGTCGCGAAGCAGACAGGCCACCAGTAACTTCAGCAAGCATCGCGGCGTAAACGAAAAATAGCGAACTGGAGAGACATTTGGCCAGCCAAGAGTTAGGCTGCGCCCCAGGGGCGTCAGCGAAACTACCAAGGCAATCTCACCCTCGGTAGTTTTGCTGACTGCCCCGGGGCCCTGGGAGGGCCCGGGGGAGCCCGCAGAGACCCTGTCGGCGGAAGACTGGGGAGAGCACCACTGTACTGCACATACAGTAGGGGCCCGACCACAAGAAACCTTCCACAAGAAACCCAACAATGAGGACGTCAACTGATTTTTGGTGCGGGAACGGCACGCTTCCCGCAGCAAAACCATCGAAACCAAAGAAACCCAGGGCAGCATGGGGCCCCACTGTTCGGGAGACAGTACCGGAGAGCCTACGGGAGACCAGACCAGAGTCGCTACGCGAGAACCTACGGGAGACCACACAATAAACTGCAGGCGAGACCGTACGGAAGACCCCACGCGAGACCGCATACGGGGCACTACGTGACACGGGTCAGCGATTCCGGAGCTGCACTCGCTCACACCCGGCCTCAGAAGAAGCAAGCAGGACCGTTCCAGACAAGCTGCGTGTGAAACCTCCAGGCTCAAGCATGATAGAACGACTGTGCTCCTGAAGAAGCGCAGGGAGAGGGGGAACACTCGCGCTGGAGGGTGTGGGGGGGCTGCGCTGTCGACACCTTCCTCTTGCCACCTTGCCCAGGACGCCTCCTCCTCGTCCGTCGCTGCCTCGTTCCCTCGCCCCGTCCCTCTGCTCCTCTCCGCCTCCTCATCGTTTTTCTCCTCCCTCTCCCCTCGTCCATTTCCACCTCCTAGTCCTTCTTCTCCCTCTTCCCTCCTTCGGTGACTCATCATCCAGATCACGATTCCCTCCTCCGTCGCCTCCTCCTCTTTCTTTTCCCCCTCCTCCTTCTCAGCCTCCTCCCCATCCTCCCCATATTCCTCACCATCATCGGCATCATCATCGGCAGCATCAGCATCACCATCATCGGCAGTATCAGCATCATCAGCAGCAGCATCAGCAACAACCTCATCATCATCATCGTCATCATCGTCATCATCATCAGCATCATCATCATCAGCATCATCACCATCATGATCTTCATCACCATCATCAGCATGATCATTATCATTGACATCAGCACCATACATATCAGCATCAGCATCAGCATCAGCATCAGCATCAGCATCAGCATCATCAGCATCATCATCATCATCATCATCATCATCATCATCATCATCATCATCATCATTTGCAGCATCATGTTTAATTATTTCGCATCCCTCATCGTCATCATCATCAGCATCAGCAGCAACATCAGCATCATCATCACTACCATCAGCATCATCAACAACAGCGTCATCTGCATCATCATCATCAGCATCGTCAGCATCATCCTCATCATCATCAATATCACCATTCAACATCATCAACCTCAGCAACATCATCGACAGCATCAGCATCAGCATCATCATCATCATCATCATCATCATCATCATCATCATCATCATCATCATCATCAACGTCATCGTCATCGTCATCGTCATCGTCATCATCCGTTTCATGGCAAAATTGCAACCCTGAGCTTCCCAGGACTGGTACGGACGAAGGGCCAGCGGCGAAAAGCTTTCAAAATGCGGCCCTCGCCGTAACGCTTCGCTTTTTGAAGTGTGGCGCCTTGGGCCCACGCTGCGGTCGAGCTACAGCAGGGATGATGTTGTGCGACTTGGGCACAAAAGTGGACGGAGCGGCAGGAGAATCCGTGGCGCTGCGCACACCTGCTTCGAAATGTTCCAGCAGCGGTGCGGGGTGGAGGACCGCCCCATGCATACCACACGATTCCTGCCTGCATCTGTGCATTCGCGGAGGAGGGGGAGAGAGCAGGAGGGGGAGAGAGGAGGAGGAGGAGGAGGTTGAGGAGGAGGAGGAGGACAAATGCGGGGTGGAGGACCGCCCCTGCTCAACGCCAGACCGCCGCAGCACAGTCGCCTTCGAGGCCTCCAGCTGATGCGCGGGTGGAGGCCGGCCCCTCGTCCGAGCAGGTGCCTCGGTGGAGACGGCATCAAGGTCTGCCACCAGAGGCTGGTATGTGAGGAGACGTGTGCAGTGGAGGCCCATGCCAAGAAACACCCTGCTTGCCTCCAGGGTGCCCTGGGTTTCTTGGGCTTCGATGGCTTTGCTGTGGAAGGCGTGACGTCCCCACGCCAAAAATCAACGGACGTCCTGGGGTCTCAGGGTTGGGTTTCTTGTGGAAGTCTTCTTGTGGACTGACCTCAACTGTCTGGACGGGTGCAGACTGGTTCCGTCTCGGAGCAAGTGCCTCGCGTGGGGCTTCCTCAAGCTCTGCCACCAGAAGCTGGCACTGCAGGAACCCAAACATATTATATATACCAGAACCATCGCGCGCGCTCAGGTTCTAGCCCAGGCCGGGGGCGCGCTAGAAGATCTTGGACAGCGCTATCAAGCACAGGCGCGTGACATAGTCGTGCCTCCTGAGGGCCTCTTGGGAACCTCTTGGGTCTTCGTGGGGCATCTGAAGGGCTTCTGGGGGGTTCTCCGTGCGGTCCCTTGGGGGCATCGTCAGGGTTCTCGGGGCAGTCGGAAAGTGATGTTCTGCAGCCTGAAGCAATCAATTGGCCGTCTTGGCTGCGTGGAGGCCCAGCTTGAGGCCACATTGGGGCAATCCGGAAGCCTCCCCGGGCCTCCTTGAAGCAATTTTGATGCATCGAGAGCACTGTTCAGCTATCTTGGGGCCCTGTGTACGTCTCCTGTGAGCCTTTTGGGGCCTGGTGGGGGGCTTTGGGGGGCCTCGTCGGACCACTTCGGGACTCTTGGGGCCTCCTGTGGGCCTCTTAGGGCGGACAGCGCTGCTGTTTGGTTCGCGTTCCCCTTCTTGGGGCTCTCTTGGGGCCCTCTTGGGCCCTCTCGGGCCGTCTTGGGCCCTCGTGGGCCGTCTTGGGGCCCTCTTGGGGGCCTCTTCGGCTATCTTGGAGCGGCCGTGGGGGCCACTTGGGCCGTCTTGGAGCGTCGGGATGCCAAAAGGCTGGGAACTCTAAAATCCATCAAAAGCCGATTGGAAAACAATGCTTCTTGGAACCTCTTCGGCCTTCTGGGGAGCTTCTTGAAGGTCTCTTGGGTCCCATTTGGGGGCTTCTGGGGCTTCCTGAGAGCCTCTCGGGGTGGAAGGCTCGGATTTTCGGTTCGTCTTACCCCTCTTGGGCCCCCCTTGGGGCCATATTGGTGCCCTCTCGGGCTGTCTTGGGCCCTGTTGGAGGCCTCTTGGGCTATCTTGGATTGGCCTTGGAGGCCTTTTGGGCCGTCTTGGAGCGTCAGGACGCCAAAAGGCTGAAAACACTAACATCAATCAACAACCTATGGCACGACATGGATTTTTGCCTCTTGGGGCCTTCGTGGGAGGCCTCTCGGATACTCTTCGGCCCCCTGGGGGGCTTCTCGGGGCCTCTTGGAGCCTGTTAGGGGCTCGGGGCTTCCTGAGAGCCTCTCGGGGTGGAAGACTCGGAGTTTCGGTTCGTGTCAACCCTCTTGGCTCCATCTTGGGGCCGTCTTGGGGCCCTCTCGGGCCGCCTTGGGCGCCTCTGGCGCCGTCTTGAGACCCCCGTGGGCTGTCTTGTGACCGTCTTCGAAGCCTCCGGGGATGCCTTGGAGCGGAAATCAAAGCCTCTTGGGCCGTCGTGGAGCGTCAGGAAACTCAAAAGGCGAGAACTCGAAAATCTATCAAAAACCAAAAGAAAACAAATTAGTTGTGCCTCCTGGGTCTGCTTGGGAGCCATCTTGGAGACCTCTTGGGGCGTCTCGGAGGCCTCCTGGACAGTCAGGGACCAATTCTGGGGTGATCTCGGGCGGTCATTGGTCGCTTCGTTGTCTGAAAACGCCAGGGCCGTCTTCGGGCGACTTCACAAGGCCCCAAGCGCCACGTCGGGGCCCCCGGCCCCCCCGGTGCGAGGGCCCCGTCCGGGCCCCGCCTCGTGCCCCCGGCAGGGCGTCCCTGGGCCGTCTCGGCGCCCTCGTGGGGGCCTGGTGGGGCGACATCGGGTGTCTGGAATCCATCAAAAACCTAAGGACAATCAATAATTTTGGCGTCCCTTTGGGCCGTGTTGGAAGCCTTGTGGGCCCTGCGGAAGCCATATTGGGCGTGTTCGAACGATCTGTCCTCGTTTCGGGGCCTCTTGGGGGCCTCTTGCGGCCCTTTTCCTCTGTGTTGGGGCTTTCTTGGGCCGTCTGGGGGCGGCCCTGGGGTGTCTCGGCGCCCTCTTGGAAGCCTGTTTGGAAGATTTCTGGGTGTCCTGGGCCGTCCTCCTTCAACGTCGGCGGCACTGGCCGTAAGACTTCCTGGGAACATGATTTGTTAGGGCTCCTCCGGAGGCTTCGGGGCCTGACGCGTTTCCGAGCGTGGCGGCAGGTAGCGCTGCTTGGGACTCTCGTTTTTTTTTTTTTGTTTATCCTGGCAGGCGTTTATAAACATGGCTTGGGGAAAGGGCGGCAACCCGAGAATCATGTTTCAGGGAAGCTTTCCGGGAGCATGATTTGTTCGGCTGTCTTAAGAGGGGGGGCTCTGGGGGCTTACCGAGGGGCCCTTTTTGGCCTTGTCGGCAAGCCTACGGTGGGCGGAAGCCCAAGGAATCATATTCCCGGAAAGCTCTGGGAAATACGATTTACCGCGGTCTCTTGGGGGCCCGCAGGGGGCTTCCATGGGGGGCCCTTGGGGGCTTACTGGGCTTCCGGGGGGCCTCTTGGGAGCCTCACGGGGCTTCTTGGGAGCCTCTTGATGGCCTCCGGGGGGCGTCCTAGGAGCCTCTCAGACCTTGAAATGTCGCGCTCTTCGGGCCCTCTTGGGTCGTTCTTGGGGCTCTCTTGGGGCGCTCTCGAGGTCCTCTTAAATTATCTGGGGAACCTCCTGGGCCGTCTCTGGTCTTTCCTTGGGAGCCTCTTCGGCCGTCTTGGAGCGATCTGAAGGGCCTCTGACGCGGTCCGGGACCGTGGGGAGGCGGAACATGCGAGAGCGCAAAAATGCGGGGCCCTTTGGAGGGGCCTCTGGAGGCGCTCTTGGGGCGTTTTGGCGGCGTCGTCGGCCGTCCTGAGGCCATCTTCGGCGTGTCCGGGGCCTCTTGGGGCTGTCTTGGCAATCTTTAGGGCCCTCTTGGCGTGTCGTGGCGTGTTTGGGAGCGGGCCCGGGCTGTCCAGGGAGCCCTGGGGGCTGTTGAATGCTAGGTGTTGTCTTGGAGGCGGAGGCTGTGAAGTGCAGGGTGGCGCGTGCTACGCGGAAGGCGGGCGAGCGGCCAGGCGGGCAGCGGGCGGGCGCGTGGCGGGCGGGCGGGCGGGCGGGTCGGGAGTTTAACGAATTCCTTAAAGGGTGCTCTCTTGCAGCGGGAGCTTGTTGAGTACAGGCTGTTGCCTTGAAGACGGGGGCTGTTGACTACAGGGTGTGGTCTTGGAGACTGAAGCTGTTGAGTATAGAGTGGTGCGTGTTACGCGGACGGCGGGCGGGCGGCGGGTGCCCTAGGTGGTGGGTCAGAGGCCTCATGGGTGTTAGATTGGATCTCGTGGTTGGCCTGTCGGGGACGTCGTGAAAGGCAGTTTCGCAGCTTCTCGGTATCCATTTTGAGACCGTTGTGGGACCTCCGCGGGGCTGTTTTGTAGTCTCTTGAGGCCTTGTTTGGGTCTCCTGGGTGCCTCTCGGGGCTCTCCTGGGGCCTCTGGGGGGCTCCATGGGGCCTGGTGGGGCACTCTTCAAGCGGGAAGGTCGAATTTTGGAGTCGTGGTCCCCCTCTTGGGCGCATCTTGGGGCCGTCTTGGGGCTCTCTTGGGCGCCTCTGGGGCCGCCTGGGGGCCCTCTCGGGCCGTCTTGGGGCGCTCTTGGGGGCCTATGGAGCCCGGCCTGGAACGTCGGACAGCCGAAAAGGCTGGAAGGCCAAAATCTCTCCAAAACCTCAGTACTATTGACCATTTTAGTCTCTTGAAGCGCTCGGGAGAAGCGTCTTGAAGCGTCGTGGAGTGCCTTGGGGGGGCTTCTCGGGCCGTCTTGAGCCTATCTTGGGCGTCTAGGAACAGTCTTTCCGCGACTCGGGGGCCGCTTGGGCCGTCAGGGGAGGCTCTGGAGGCCCTCCTGGACTATTTTGGACCTCCCCGGCCGCCCCGTCCTCCCGTGGGGGGTCGGGGCAGCTGTTTGTGGGCCCTGGGCCTGCCCCCCAGGGATATCGATATCTATATCTGTATGTATGTATGTATGTATGTATGTATGTATGTATGTATGTATATATATATATATATATATATATATACATAGACGGGGGTACGCCGACGCTTCTTCAAAATGAGTGTCTCGCTTGAGGATTCACCGAGGTCGACCACCTAGAATGCGCATGGGAGAAACTTCGCAATCAATAGGGGTAGACTTGCCCCTTTCCGAAACGGGTTGCCCAGATGTGACCTCTCAGTGTTGAGGCCAGGGTCGAGAGTTGGGCAACAGCAACACATACGGAGCAAAAACTGGCGTTCCAATAAAGCCCTGGCGTGAGGCCTCCATGAAAGCCACCACCAGAGGGAAATTGTGCAGACACTACATTGTTGGAAGGCGGCCCATTGTCAACGAGAGGCTCGTATTGGACAGGCACTTGATTTGTATAGTCGCACGTGATGGCACGTCTGAAGGCTAGCAAGGTGAAAGCGGATCATTTAAAATCGAGGGTCTTGCCTGAATGGCAAGGCCATGGGGCGCTCGTCAGTCAGAGGGACGCGGCCCGCAATGATATCGATAGAAACTTCTGGTGTGGGGTGATGGACGGAAGGGTGTACTTTAGCATCGCCGATGCTTCCTGTTTTTCTGTCAAGGGAAAACATAATTTTTGCTGGTCCGCGCGGATTTCTGGCACCTGCGCTGGACCTCTCTTCCTGGCACGCGGGACGCGCCAGGGGCGGCGCCGGAGGTGCCGCCCGGGGAGGCCCAGCGCGGATCAAAGAAATCCTCGCGGAGCGCCAAAAGTTTACGTTTATGGGCATGTTTACTCATGCCTCATTCCTTCTATCACGTTTCCCTCTCATCCCTGTGAAAGCCAACACAGGGAACTGTCCTGCAGAAAATGGTTGACAACATCGGATCTGGCCGCGGCGGTGAAGGGCGCGGTACACTAGAACAGGAGGCGAAGGAGGCGACGCACCCTGTGTGCGGGCCTCTCCTCCTCCTCCTCCTCCTCCTCCTCCTCCTCCTCCTCCTCCTCCTCCTCCTTCTCTTCCTCCTCCTCCTCCTCCTCCTCCTCCTCCTCTTCCTCCTCTTCCTCCTCCTCCTTCTCTTCCTCCTCCTCCTCCTCCTCCTCCTGCGTGATCTTTCTACAGAGCGAGGAGGTCGGGCGTCGAGGCCGTACCTCGGGCCTCCGCTCGGCGGCCGTCTGGGACGATCCAAAAGCACCCCGGGAAAGCTCTCGGCGAGTCGCAGCTGCTGGAGAGCAGCCCGAGGCTGGAGAGTCTCTGGGAGCCCACGAGCACGCCAGGAAACCTCCCACTTCGAGCCTCCTCCGAACACCTCCCGCGAAGGTTTCCAGAGATCCGATGCCGTGAGGTCTTCGATACGCGGTCCCTGGAAATCTCGACTCATTCCCCAGGACCGAGGCCCCGCGAGGGCCCCCAGATGCCGAAACTGACGACAAACCTCCCGTCATGTTTTTCACACGTTATGAATTATTTACTACTCGAGGGGGTCTGGGTCACGAGGACGTTAGGGCCATCCCCCACCCCAGGACTCCCGTCGCTCCTGGCGGAGCTCGCGGAGCTCGGCCAGCGTCTGCTCCACGCTGACGGCGGCCGCGCGCCCGGCGGGGGAGGCTTCGTCGCCGCCGCAGCCGTCGTGGTCGTCGCCCACATCGTCGTCGCCGCCGTCGTCTTCGCAAGAGGGAGGACGAGGGAGAGAGCAGGGAAAAGGAGAAGAGGGCAACCAGGCACTCCTCGCCTCAGCCAGCCGTCGGAGAGAAAGAAGTGGACGGGCGGGCACACCGAAGAGGTGCCTCCCCACACCCGACCTCTGTTCAGTCCAGCGCTTTCTCCCAGTAGGCGTCCCGCTCGCACTGGAAGAGCGAGCGGCACGCCTTCCACAGGGAGATATTCACGTTATAAGGGTGTCTGCATCAGCGCAGGAGCGAGAGGCGATATTCAGCGGTGGGGTTGGAGGACACACCATCGCACGGCTGGACATGCCTGCATCCCCGCTCGCTCGAGAAAACATCGCACCGATCGCAGGTATATTGGCCCGGATGGTGCAACTCGTGGCCGAGTGCCTCTCCGCGCAGGGCTGTCCGAATCAGATACTCCTCCTCCTCCCCACGCTCCACAAAGAAACGACAGTCCACCCGAACCTTCCCCCCCGCGGGGGACAGGGCATACCTACAGCAGACCGTACGTTGCCAGGCCTCCCGAGACCAGACAAGAGCGTGGGGGAAGAGGGAGGAGGAAGAGGAAGAGGAGGAGGAGAAGAAGGAAAAAGGAGGAGGAGGAGAAAGGAGGAGGAGAGAGGAGGAGAAAGGAGGTAGCATGGCGAGAAGGGAGAAGGGGGGAAGGAAGGGATGGGGAGGATGCGAAGAGTGGGAGGCAACAAAAACACTAACCAACACAAAAACAAACAAGGGAAGAAAAGACCCAGGAAGAGACAGCAGGGAGACGCAACAATAGAGAAGGGAGGAGCACCACTGCCCTTCACGAGGGCTACCACGATCGTGCATGCGAACAGGACTAAATCGAGTAACCACTGCCCGCATTTCCGCCCCAGGCCAGAAGGCATGAGGAGAAGTGGAGGGAAGAGGGAGGGAGGATGGAGTAAGAAGGTTCGGGGACTCCGTAGACGCTGGTGGAGGTTCCAGAGGGCTCGGGCGTGCTCCAGGGGGTGAGCGAGCGAGAACAGTCGCGATGCGAGCCGAGGCCGAAACTGCGGACGCTTGCGAGCAAGCTCCTCGGCCTTGCTCAAGGCCGCTGGCCGACGTTCGGTGTGGATCTGACTCAGATGCTCGCTTCGACTCGCAGTCGGTCCTTGATCACAGGTGCCCGCAGAGGTCGTGATCTGGTCGCGACGGAGGGGGTCAGGGGAGAGGGGGGGAGGGGGGAAGCTAGGGGGAGGAGGGAGGGGAGGGGAGGGAAGGCGTGGAGGAGGAGAGCAGAAGAGAGGAGGAGGAGGAGGACGACGAGGAGGAGAAAGGGGAGAGAGGGAAGGCGTGGAGGAGGAGAGCAGAGCAGAGGAGGAGGAGGAGGAGAAGGAGGAGGAGGAGGAGGAGGGGGAGGAGGAGGAGGAGGGGAAGAAGGATGAGGAGGACGCCGAGGAGGAGAACGAGGAGTAGGAAGGGGAGAGAGGGAAGGCGTGGAGGAGGAGAGCAAAAGAAAGGAGGAGGAGGACGAGGAGGAGGATGACAAGGACGAGGAGGAGGCGGCGGCGGAGGGCTGGGCTGGACCGGGACCTGGGCTGGACCGGGAGCGGCACCCGGGGGGGGACAAAGAACAGACATCACCCGAGCGGGGGGGGGCCTCGCGGTGGCCCTGCACGGCGGCTGCAAGAGCGACGAGCGGCGCCCGAGGCCTCTGCGCGCACCGACCACCGCCCCTACGTTTAGGTCGGGCATGCCCTCCTACAGGCGGATGTTGGACGAAAAATAAGAAATAATCCAACCATGGTCAAAAATAGTCAAAACTGTCAGAAAAATCGTGCCCAGACTATTTGTTTACTATTCTTAGATTTCCTCCCTGTAGAGGGACAGGCCCGATTTAACCCTACATGCGGCGGACCGGGATCGGGCGCGGCCTAGCCGACCCCTACCGAGCCATCCCCTTCCGTGACGTCCTCCTCGTCTTTCGGACTCCCCTCCTGCCGCACACGTACGTCCTGGGGCGAGGCGAGGGCGACGTCACGGAAGGGGATGGCTTGCCAGGGGTTGGTCAGGCCGCCCCTGACGGGAGGGGCGAGGGCGTGGGGGAGGGGCGGAGGAGTAGGAGGAAGAGGAAGAGGCGCACGCGCAAACGGGGCCTGGGTCCAGGACCGGGCTGGCAATGCCTTGCGCTCCCGAGCGCGGAGGAGGAGGGGGATGCACAGCAGCACGAGGACGTGGGGACCAGCGAAGGCCCCATCTCGTCGGCAACTCCGCAGCCTGGACGCAAACCAGCAGAACACGGGATCTGCGCTCCGTCGGACGCCGCTCCCGAGCGCCGTCCAGCGCGAGTCTCGAACGGCGGCCGGAGACATGCCATGGGCGAGGCGCGACGCGCCAGCGACACGATGCTGGATGAGACCAGAGGGCGCGCATCAGAAGACAAACGAGAGCCCTCCGCTGCTCGATGCTCGTGAGGGAGCAACAAACACCGACAACACTACTCCCCAGACCTCTCCCTGGGTGCGTCCTGACCAGAAGTTCGAAGCGGATCCAGCCGTGGCGACAAAGGCCTCCCAGGAGGCCCTCAAAGGCGAAAGCGAGGCAAGGGTAGCGGTATCGGTGCCTGTTCCTCCTAGCATTGCTCGGCTCCGTGAGTAATTTTCCGCAAGATGATCTAAAAGGCTCCTCTACGGTCCTCCCCGAGTGGGGCAGAAATAAAGTAAAAACTCACGAGCGATGCCAAGTCCTCTGAGCTCGAGGTGCAGCGGGTGCCACAAGCGAGCCCGCCGCGGCGGAGAGAAGCCAATCTGCCCCCTGCCGAAGGGCACGGGGCGGAGGCGCTTTGCGCCGCGCGGCGGCGGCGCGGCACGCGGCGTCACAGATCCGGGGGGGGTCAAGAGGCAGCTGCACGTCGGTCGGACGAGGCAGGCAGAAGCATCAAGTAGGAAGGCATTGGAAGTACTGTGGAGGCCCATGCCAAGGAACACCCTGCTTGCCTCCAGGGTGCCCTGGGTGTCTCGGGTTTCGATGGCGTTTCCATGGAAAGCGTGACGCTCGCACACTTAACATCGATGGACGGGTCTCAGGATTGGATGTCTTGTGGAAGGCTTCTTGTGGAATGGCATCCGCTGTAGATTGGGCGTCCGCCCGCCCCCTGCAGGTACTTGCGCGTCGGTCGGAAGAGGCAGGTACACGCACGAAGCAGGTAGAGGAAAGAAGCGCACCACTACCACCACCGCTTGGAGGATGGAGGCAAAGGGTGGTCAAGGGTTGAGGTGGTGGTGTGCACCGTGTGGAGTGCTCTCGCGGGACACCGGGCACATCCGCATCCCACACACCAACTCATCCCGAGTCAAAGGCGGTGGTGGTGGTGGTGGTGCGCTTCCTGCCTGCTCCCAGCAAGGAAAATAGATCGGCCTTCCGCTCCCCCCCTGAAGGAGGGAAGAGGGAAGGCCACTCGACTGTTGAAGTAGGAAGGCGGCCAACGTGGGCTGGGACATGGGAGTCCAAGAATACCGACTTTCAAACGACCGACGTGATCTGATACCTACTCTTGAGCAGGGACCGACCGTCCCGGCTTCACCATTATAGTCCTACTACGAAGCGTTCTTAGACCCTAAGGATGTTCTAATAGCAGGAACAACGTTCTGATAACATAAGCCACATGTGATAAAACGTGACAGTCTCAGCCAGGCATGCTCGAAGAACATGTCGTGCAAACCTCAACAGGTTCTTAGAACATTCGTTGGTGGGCCTATAGGCGAGCCAAAGCGCTTCGCCACTGCTTGATACTTCCACGACATCTCCCGGGATGCGCTCTGGGACCCTTCCGCCTATGGCCTCTTCCGCCGCTGGCCCCGCCGCGGGCCGAGGCCTCTCGAGCGCACGCCACGGCCGAGGCCTCGCAGCGACTCGCGCTGGGAAGCAGGCCCTGGAGGGAAGCGGGCTCTGGAGGGAAACGATGTTTCGCCACTCTCATCCTCCATTAGAGAGGCCTCCCAGATGGGGTCCGAGTCTGCGGTTCCGTCGGCGCCGCCGGCTTCTGGGGGGAAGCGGGTTCTGGAGGGAAACGATGTTTCGCCACTCTCATCCTCCAGCAGAGAGGCCTCCCAGATGGGGTCCGAGTCTGCGGTTGCATCGGCGCCGCCGGCTTCTGGGGGGAAGCGGGTTCTGGAGGGAGGCGGTGTTTCGCCACTCTCATCCTCCATTAGAGAGGCCTCCCAGATGGGGTCCGAGTCTGCGGTTGCATCGGCGCCGCCGGCTTCTGGGGGGAAGCGGGTTCTGGAGGGAGGCGGTGTTTCGCCACTTTCGTCCTTCTTTAGAGAGGCCTCCCAAATGGGGTCCGAGTCTGCGGTTCCGTCGGCGGCGCCGGCTTCTGGGGGGAAGCGGGTTCTGGAGGGAAGCGGTGTTTCGCTACTTTTATCATCCCTTAGAGAGGCCTCCTAGATGGGGTTCGAATTCACGGTCACATCGGCGGCGCCGGCGTGGAAATCGGGCTCCATAGCAAGCCGCATCGCCGATCAATCGGCGATGCGGCGCGACCCTCCGATCTCATCTACTCGGACCCCATCTGGGAAACTGCAAATCCTCCTTCTCCTCCTCCTCTTCCTCCTCCTCCTCCTCCTTTAGATGGTTCACTTCTCTTCCAGCCATCACGCCCGTCGCACGTAGCTCGTCTGCCTTGGCCCGTGGTAAGCCACGCGCACGTGCGACCCGAGGGGTGCTCCGGCACCTGCTTGGCGGGATGGCGATGCTGGAAAAGGCTGACCGGGCCCCTGATTCCAAACGGCCGTTTTCTGGGCGGACGGGTTGCGACCGCTGCTTTCCACCGTGGAGGGCGGGACGCTCGCGGAGAGCTGGTGCTCCGCTGTTTTCGGGGCCCTGGGGTCACCCACGGGCCCCAGGGCTGCGAAGAGAAGGCTCAGGATGAGGAACTGGACCCCGGGAAAGGCCCGGGGATCTGGGGCCCGTCTCCCTCGGGACCCCGTCTGATAGGCCTGTTTTCCACCACCACCACCACCATCAGCTGGAGGGCGAGGGGGTCCTCCCCGTCCTCCTCCTCCTCCTCCTCGTCCTCCTTCTCCGTCCTCCTTCCCCCCTCCAACTTATGGCAGTGATGGTGGAAGACAGGCCTATCAACGTTCCTTCATGCCGAAATTGGCAAGTGCCCCCTGTCCGGTAACCTGTCCGGTAACCCCGCTCGCGCGCGGGGAGGGGTGGTGCACGAGGAACGCCCAAGGAGCCGAATAAGAGGTTCTCAGTGGAAGCGTCATCGTCGTCGCCATACAGGGTCGGCAGCACCGGCCGTAACGCCGTGGCAATAAGAGGTTCTCAGTGGAAGGCGTTCGACCAGATCGTTGCACGCTTGCAGGCAGAATACCCCCAACAGCGCTTTCGAATACCATAGCGGACACCTAGAAAGAAAAAAGAGCACGCTTGAAAGTGGAGATGACTGGACGTTGTGCTACTGCGCGCACTGAGGCACGAGAGAGCGGCCAGGAGCCCCTGCGACAAACCAGACGGGAAACCACACGGGAGTCGGCACGGGAGACCAGACGGGAGACCCTGTGGGGGACCCTGCTCGAGAGCAGGCGGGAGGGACCTTGCGAGAGACTAAAAGGGACCTTGTACGGGAGGCCACACGGAAAGCCACACAGAAGACCGTGCGGGAGACCGTGTGGGAGAGCATACGGGAGGCCATGTGGGGCACAATGCGGGAGGCCATGCGGACGGGACACCATACTGGAGACCATACTGGGAGGGAAACATACGGGAGACCATACGAGAGATCACAAGGAAGGCCAAACAGGAAGCCATGCGGACGGGGCACTGTACAGGCTACCGTAGGGAGACCAAGGACGACCGCTTCAGGAGACAGGGGAAGTAATCCGAGCAATCTAATCAATTTCTATACTAGACTTCGCTTTAAAATGAATGAAAACATGACCCGGGCATGGGCGCACTGCTATGGCATTGCGTGGCATTGCATGGCATGTTACTTGGCATATCGCTTGGTATTGGTTGGCATTGCTTGGCAACTTGCTTGGCATACAGCCGGGGCTGATTGGAGAGAACACACACGAGGACACAAGTCCCTTCCGAGGGCCACATTGCCACAGGAATTTAGAGGCAAGGGTCGCGACACACAGGGCACAAGGGTACCTTTGATTTGGCAGGGTCAACCTAATAATCAACGTTGACTGTATTGCTTGGCATATTGCTTGCACATTGCTTTGCGTTGTTTGGCAATGATAGGCATGACTTAGTGTTGCGCGGCATTGCTTTGCATTGCGTGGTGTGACGTGGCATTGCTTTGCATACTTTTGCATTGCCTGGCATTGCGCCGCTAGGCAAGGAACCAAATAACCAAGACCAAGGAACCAAGACAAATCAACGAAGCCAAGATCACGGAGCCCATGAGCCGAGACGAAGAAACCAAGGAACCAAGGAACCAACACCGAGGAACCTGAGGAAGGCGACTGAGAGCCAAGAGCAGGGAGCCCAAAACAGCCCAGCGCGAGTAGCCCGAGGAACGACAGAGCGCCAGGAGTCGAGAGCGAGAACCCCCGAGGAATGCCACTGCAAGGAAACGAGAACTAGAACCCCCAAAGAGAACCGCCACGATCAGGGAACACCCGCAGGAGGAGGAGGAGGAGGAGAAGGAGGAGGAGGAGGAAGAGGAGGGGAAGGAGGAGAAGGAGGAGAAGGGGGAGGGGGAGGGGGAGGAGGAGGAGTAGGAGTAGGAGGTGGAGTAGGAGCAGGAGTAGGAGGAGGAGTAGGAAGAGGAGGACGAAGAGGAGAGAGGAGGAGGAGGAGGACAAGGAGGAGGAGGACAAGGAGGAGGAGCCCTGGGCAGACCCACCTGCAGCGAGCAACAGAAAAACAGGGCCGGGGAAAACTCCCCGAGCCAACCCCAGCCGGCGCAGGCCGCGCACCGCAGCTGCGCCACGGGCTACTGCTCCTTCCACAAATCAAGACATGGCGGCGCACAGAGGGGGGGGGAGCGGGGGAGGGAGGAGGCCCCCAGAAAGGGGCCCAGGGCCACACACATGAGTAGGCACAGATCCCAGGATCCCCTTTTATCGTTTCCCATATCTTCGAGGCGTTCGTCTTCCCCGCGCCTCCCATGCCTTCCCATATATATATATATATATATATATATATACCTTGTGTCGATGTGTGTTTTGTTGGGCCCCTCCCGAAGCCCCAGGAGCAGCCAGGGGTCCCCCGGGGGGGGCGGACTCGTCGCCCCAAGCAGCCCAGATTGCCTGCGGCCCTGGGGGCCCGATGATATACAGTTTGGGCGCTGGCCCAAGGAGCCCGAAATGAGGAACGAGGCCCTCCTCCTCCTCCTCCTCCTCCTTCTCCTCCTCCTTCTCATTCTCCCCCCTCCGCCCCCCCCCCCCCCTCCCTCCTCCTCCTCCTCCTCTCTCCTCCTCCTCCTCCTCCTCCTCCCCCCCTCCCCTTCTCCTCCTCCTCCTCCTCCTCCTCCTCCTCCTCCTCCTCCTCCTCTTCCCCCTCCTCTTCCTCCTCTTCTTCCTCCGCCGACCCCTTGGGCTGATATCTTTTTCCCAGCAGGTCAACCCTCGGTTTCCATGGAAAACCACAGGATAACCTGAAGCATACTGGAACCACGATCGAGGAAACCGAGTCCCTCCCCAACGCAAAGGGTGCCTTCTTCAGCGCCCCGACTGCAAGACCTCCACCCCGCGTGGCCGAAACCGGAGACGAGCACCGCGGTACTGCTTGCTGTCCGTGCGGTCCGCTCCAGGAGTTCGGGCAACGCGCACAGGCCTACGCAGGGGGAGGGGGAAGGCTTCTTGTAGAAGGAGTCTGCTTCTTGGACGGCGCCCGCACTGCATCTAGAGACGAGGCCCAGGCCCGCGCCTTCTAATGGGCAGGGGAACGTCTGAGACGCCTCCCCCTCTCCCCCTACCCCCCCTTCTGCGCGTGGCCGGCATAAGAATCCTTTGGGCAACATCCCTGATGACTCCGCCCCACTTCAGCGTCGTTGTCGCCGCCGATACCGCCGTCGTCGTCGTCGTCGTCGTCGTCGTCGTCGTCGTCGTCGTCGTCGTCGGCGCCGCCGTCGTCTTCGTCGTCGTCGTTGTTCCCCTTCAGGGGCGGCGGCGGTGGCCGCAAGGCCTTCCCAATAAGAACACCTTGGGCATCGGGAACTGCATACAGGGAGCGACGGAGCCCCCGGCTGAGCCCTGCTCGCGCCCAGGGGGGGGGGCACGGGAAAAGCCCGAGGAAGACCCGCACACTCCCCGACGTCGCGGTCCTGTCTCGAGGCGTGGGCCCCTGGACGTCTCGACCCGTCCCCCAGGACCTGTCTTTTCCGTCGTCGTCCTCCTCCTCCTGCTCCTCCTCCGTCTCCTCGAGCCGACCTCGATCCTGTACCTCGATCCGGCTGTACGTCCAGTCGAATCATTCGGCGGCGAGCGAGGGTGGAAAATGAGAAGGAGAAGGCCTTCTCGGAGGGCGGCGGGACTTCTCAGAAGCCCCCTCGCGCCTTCTGAGGAGTGTGTTCTGCGTCCTCAGGGAAGGCTCAGAAAACTTCTCGGAAGGCCGGGGGACCTCCGAGGCTTCTGAGGAGTCCCGCCCCTGCTCACTGCCCCCCCTCGCTCGCCGGCGAACTGCACCTCGCCGACTCGAGCCGACTCAGCGCGCACACCCGGCGTCAGGAGAGAGAAGCTCGGGAGGGGGCTTCGGGGGCGCGGGGCGGAGGCTCCTAGTGGCCAGCACGTGGACATCTCCGCGGAGCTCGCCCACAGCTGACTGGCACTCCGTGGAGATGGCCTCGGGCGCGGCGGCCAGGACGGGCCGCCGCGCGGGAGCAGGGTGGAGGAGAGGCGAGAGTCCAGATTCAGCATGCGGTGCGAGTCTCTGAGAGCAGCCATGCCTGTGTGTGGTCTTTTTCCAGCGCAGCGGTCAGGCGTCGAATAGCCTCGCACCTGAGGTGACCAAAGCAGGCAAGCTCATGAGACAGCACGTGTACCCCAAAAAAGTTGTCTGGCATGCTTTGTGAGTGTGGAGGTCCTGTCGTCGCCGCGATGCGGCTTCACGAGCTCGGGTCCCCCACTGTGAGAAGTTCGGGCCGTCGCCGCAACAGGGTTCCGTAAGCATGAGGATTCAGACACATAGCGTTCCACGCACACACACACACACACACACACACACACACACTTACACTCACACTCACACTTACACTTGCACCTTACTTACACTCACACTTGCACGTGTTGCTGCGCGGCCGCGTGGTCCAACTCAGCGAGGGCAAACATACACACGCACACACGCGCGCGCACACACGGCCGACTAGGGCAGGGCGTGCGCGAGCCCAGCTCAGAAGCGGCAGGGCGTGCCAGATTCACCCATAGGGCACCGCACATCATAACTCGCCGAGCACAAGCACACAGGTTCATTCTACACATCGTTTTCCGCACACTTGGTGTTTTGAACGCATGGGTCTCACGCCTAGGGCCCACGTGCGCATTGGGGTCTCGCGCACACTTGGGGTTCCGCGCACATGGGGTTCCCCACACATGGCGTCACACCTCCTCACTCCTAGGACTCGACTTACAAACACATGGCGTTAGGTACACATGGACTCCGCACGCACACGCGCACACAAACTGGCGGGGGGTCCGCATACATGGGCTTCCACACACGCGTAGCGTACACTCATGGGATTCCACACGCATGGGGTTCCAGACCCCTGGGGAGTCACTACCACACACACTGGGGGGAGGGCTTAACTTCCACTCGCGCGGGGGTCCATACACATAAGTTTGCACACGCACGCACACACAGACACACGCATGCGCATTCACATGGGGTCACATGCACACACGCATACACAAATCTCACACAGACGCACACACACACGCACGCAGGCACGCACGCACGCACGCACACACGCACACACACACACACACACACACTTGATGGCGTCGCGGCCCCGCGCGCGGCGACGGAGCGCACAAAAACGAGCGCAGGTAGTGGAACGCGCGCGTCTACGCCCGGCCGAGCTTTCAGAGAGCGCTTAGGGTCTCGCAGCCAGCAGCAGCCATAACCAACGGGGGCTGAATGGTGGGGAAGAGCGATCAGTAGATGACGAAACTACTCTGAGGGTGGAGGGTGACATGAGCCAGCCAGGACTGGCTGGCGGGGAGAGCGAATAAGCCAATTGGGACCGACAAGGGATTGCGTGAAGGAGCGACGGGGAGAGCAGACACAAACACACACACACACACACACCTACACTCATACATACACAAACACACGTGAACACACACACACACGCGTGCGCACACACACACACAAGGCTCCAAACTCAGCGGACCCCGCCGCTGTCTACAACTGTTTGCCGCCCACATGACGGTACTCATCAGCAAATGGCCAGTAGCCTTGTAAACCCAGCCTGCACACAACACGCTCCAGTAACTCTGGGTGCTTCAGCATTGGCCTTCCTTGCGCGATCTGCTTTGACTTCCGCCCGCCTCCGCTGGCGATCTACCGTCGCCGACCCACGGGGGCCCCCCGCGGGCTCCCGCCAGGGGGCGAGCTGTCAGCCCCTCGATTCCCCAAACACGAGGCCTCCTGTGAAACTCCCCATGTATCCAGCGCCCGGTGCTCTCGCTTCCGATCGCAACCGCCCAAGCTGCCCTTCCCTTGCTCTCGAAACAAGGGCACGGACGCTTCGCGTCTCCAAGGAGACCCAGACCCCCAACGTCGTGAGATTTGTCATGACGTGGAACCCCCAGGGGTCTCGACTCACTCCCTGGGACCAGCTTTTCGTCCTGAGTAGTTGTCTGACGGTCCCAGGGCCTGGGGAGGCCCTCCAGAGGCCGAAAAAGACGAACAACTCATCCTTACTTCTTCAATACGTTGGATCGATCTCTCGGTGCTGAAGACGCCATACCCGAAGCGCAGCCGAGCCTGGCTGCCCCTCCGTCCTGGCAAAAGAACGGGCGGGGGGGCGGCCGCGGGCGGTGCATAGAGAGGCCATGGTTCCAAGCGCTTCTGCTGCAGCTGCTGCTTCTGGCAGCTGCTTCCTCTTTCGATGTGGAGAAGACGTCGTGCCCTGAACAACACGGGCCCTACAAGATCGGGGAACCTCCCCAGGTCCAGGTCTGCTCCTTGGGCAGATTTTTCCCTGCGGCCCCGAAGCGTTTTTTTCCCCAGAGCCCTTCCCTCCAGACCCCGCCTCCTTCACGCCAGCTCCTCCTTCTCATCCTCCTCCTCCTCCTCCTGCTCCTCCTCCGCCCTCCTCCTCCTTCTCCACCTCCTCCTCCTCCTCCTCCAACATGCCCTCGATCTCGTCATCCTCCTGTTCCAGCGAAGAAATCCGCCGCAACGTGCGCCACGCGCATGTATCGGGGGACAGCTAGGCGACAGACTGCTGGTGCCCAACCTGCCACTCGGGCTCTCCCGAGCGGATGAAGTAGCATCTCTGCGCGGCATTTGGGCCAGGACAACATTTCGCCCGCTTTCGCGCGGGCCTACTGCCGATGCCGTTTTGATACGATGCGGCGGGCGAAACACGCGCCGCGCCGAAACGGAAATGCCTCTTCCAGGCAAAATCTGCACGGGGGCTCGGGTGAGAGAGACACATCGACCGCTCGATCGCGGCCACTCCCCGAACGACTTGGCGAGTGCCGGGCCGGGATCACCAAGTTCAGGCGAAATCTGCGCGGCGCCGAGGCGAGAGGAACATGTTCGCTCGCTCGAGCGCGACCTACCGTCGAGGAGTTGGCAAGTGAAAGTTGCGCGTCGCGCCTAAGTAGAGGCTCAACTCTTGGAAACATGAACGCGGTGCCAGAGCGAAAGCGACATTTCGCCCTTCCGTGCGGGATGTGCGCCTCCTCCAGCATCGGCTACGCATTCTACAACGTCGACGTCGAACACGTCCCTGCTGAAACGGCAAACTTTGGCTGTGATTTTTCGGCGATAAGATGGAAAGTCCCACATGGCAAAGTGGAAACATCAACGGATGATGAGTCTAGATATGAGGACGAGGGGGAAACATGTGGCAGTGCAAAGCGGCCGCACTGAAGGCGGATGAGACGTACGCTTAGAAGAGGAGGAGCATGGGTACCCTGAGAAAGGAAGAGGGCAGGCGGACACGAGCACGAACGCAAGAAGAGGAGGAGGAGAAGGAGGAGGAGGGTCAGAAAGTTTCATCAAACCAGCCAGTCTGATCTCGCGATAAGTTATTCCGGCTAGCGACCCTGCCCCCCCTCCTTCCTGGAAAGCCTTTCAAATCCCTCTGATCTTCCCGGCCTCCTTCCTCAACATGCCCTCCGAGACGGTCTACAAAGGGTTCCTACATGCCCAAGAAGACTCTACGACAAAATACGTACCAAATCCGAAAACCAGCCGCAAGAGGCCCCGATACAAATCACATAACGCCCCAGCGACGTCATAACTGTGTACAAGAACCGTAGTTCAAGAATGCTTGATATCATCACTTTCCCAGCTCATGATGGCTCCAAGGCCCCACCCAGAGCTTCGAAGAAGTTAAGGAATCGCTGTCCTCTCCGTCCTCTGGCTCAACGCCCCTTTTCCAAACTCTCCCTCGCACTGCCCGCAGATTGTATGCTTCTGCTCACGCGTGCTACGGGCTATGTTGACGACGATCTTGATGATACTGCTGATGATGCTGCTGCTGATAATGATGCTGATGATAGTGATGGTTTCTCTCTCAGCGGTAGGCCACCTGGGTAGCCTCTGGCAAAGGCTGTGGCTCGCAGGGAAGCTTGCGGAGTCGATTTCCGGTCATCCTGCCCATCATCCGGCTACATGCAAGGGTGACCCCAGGCAAGAGTGACCATTGGTGCGCGGCTTCACGGGGGACGCAAAGTGGCCAAGCCTAGGCGCGCAAGCCGCTGACGCCGCTTCGCGCTCAGCAATCGGGGGACCCCCTTGGGCCCGCACCAAAACCGGGGCCCACCAGAGAGGGGGGGGACTATGAGGGGCGGGGGTAAGTTCGATCCACTGGTGCATCAAATTTCTGGAAAACGATGCCCCCAGCGCGCCCCGATTGTCGACGCCTCTCGGGATCCACCGGCGGCCGGAGACCTCGATTTGAATAGTTGTTCTACGGTTCGATGCGCCAACGGACCGAACTCACCCCCCCCCCTAGTGCCCCCCCCCTTTGCGAGGTTCCGACAAAAGTTACTCCTTTGAAATGTCACACTTGCAGCCGGACCTTTGCCAGAATATCATCCTCCATGAACAGGAGATCATCCGCCGGCCAAAACACACAGACCGTCCCCAGGGACACGAAGAAGGTTGGGGTAACCTCCTCGAGCCGACCTCGATCCTATACCTCGGTCCGACTGTAAGTCCAGTCGAATCATTCTGCGGCGAGCGAGGGGAGAATTAGAAGGAGACGGCCTTCTAAGAAGGCGGCGAGACTTCTCAAAAGCCCCTCGCGCCGCCCGAGAAGAGTTCTCTGTCCTCGGGGGAGGCTCAGAAAACTTCCTCAGAAGGCCGCAGGACTTCCAAACCTTCTGAGAAGGCCTTCTCCTTCTCACTTTCCCCCCTCGCTTGCCGCCGACTCACTTCGAGGGGGTGCCAGGCGCAGGGCAGCACGCGTCAACCAAAAGCGGACCCAGCCAGCGAGGGACGTCTCTATGAGGAGGAGGAGGAGGAGGACGACGACGACGACGTCGACGATCGAACCGCCGCGGCTCCCACGGCGCGACACCGCCCAGGCCGCCAACTTTGGGCGCGCACGGGAAGGCCGGGGCTTTGCGGCGCGGGAAGCGCAGCCCTCGCGCGGGATCCGCCGCGCAGGCGGCGACATTTGGCGCGCCGCGCTTCGTGCATCCTCCCCAGGAGGAGGAGAAGGAGGAGGAGAAGGAGAGCCCTGCTCGTCCCTGCCCCTTCCTTCTCTTCTCCGCCCTCCTCCGCCTCCTCCAGCTCGTCCACTCCGTGTTCCCCCCTTCCTTCTCCTCCACCTCCTCCTCCTAGATGTATTCCTCCTCCTCCGCAGCCTCATATCCGTCCTCCTGCTGCGCAAGCTGAGAGCTGCGGGCCCGTGGTTCTCTTCGAGGGGCTGCGGCCCTCGTTTCTTCCTCCCCCTCGTCCTCCTCCTTCTCATCAACTTTCTACTCCTCCTCCTCCTCCACCTCCTCCTTCTCATCATCACCATCAGCATCATCATCACCATCACCATCATCATCACAATCATCATCAGAAGCATCACCATCATCATCATCATCATCATCATCATCATCATCATCATAATCATCATCATCACCAGCCTCATCCTCATCATCCTCATCATCATCATCATCGTCATCATCATCAGTATCATCATCATCATCGTCATCCTCGTCATCTCCGTTTTCGTTCTCAACGTCTTCCGTCTCCTCTCCTCCTCTCATCATTCCTTCTCCTCTCCTGCTCCCTACAACAATCGCGCTACCATGCCGAAAGCAGAACAGAGAACGAAGGGGCGTTTCTGGCCACGGCGAGCCGTGGCCATGAAAAGGTTGCCCGACCCAGATTGAAAGAACGGCCTGAAAACCAGAGCCCATCCTGAGCCGAAAGTGGTGCTTCTTCCACCGTCACGACTGCCCAAAAATGTCCGTAGACCACTTTCAAGACGGAGCTCCCGCCTCAGCGCCGCGCACATCCGTCTTAAAAGTCTGCAGCAGCCTCAAGGATGAAGGGCCGTCTTCAAAATGGAGCTATCGACTCTCGCCGTATCGCCGCGCACATTCGTCTTAAACGTTTGCACTCCCTCAGGGATGGAGGCTGGTGCCTTTTCAAAATGTGGCTCTCGTTCCAGCGCCGCGTGCATTCCTCTTTAGCGTTTGCATTGTGTGTTTTGTCTAATGTGAGTTCGTATTGCCAAAAACCCAGGAATACAGTTCTGGCGACATGCACGAGCGTCAGGACGCAACACTGACGTGGATTCGCACTGTTAGAGTCCCAGGAATCTTGTTCTGGCACGGCTCAGGATTGCCAGGCCGCATCAGCCACGATGAGTCATGGCGTTGACTTGTGCTTAGGCATGGTGGAAGATTTCCAAACCAATTCTGAAATCAAGGGGTGGCCGAATCCGATCAGATCTATCATGTAAACCTGTTGTGCAGTTGCCTTGTCCGTCTTCGGGGCCTTGGGGAGTGAAACATCATTTGCGTGATATTATTCGGGTTGTTGTATTCCGACTGGCCACTTCCTGCAATCGAAAGAAACGCTTGTAGGGACCTGTGCATAGGGAACGTGGCGGGAGGGTGTATTGCATTATCGTTGGTGCGTCTTGGGTTCGCACTGGTCTTCCTCCTCTTCATCCTCTGCTCCTAGCCGCGCCAGGGGAGTAACGACCATGCTGCTTAGGATGGACCTGCGTCGCGGCAACGCGCTCGGCAACAAATTTAGCATGAGGAGAGCGGATCCCGTAGAAGAAGGGCTCTGGAATGGTTTTGCTAGTTTCAGGCCCTTGGGGCCCTCCACGTGTCCCGAGACCGTCAACAAAAACTGCCCAGGATGAGGAAAGGCCCCTGGACAAGTCCCAGCATCTCGGACCCATTTCCCTCAGAACTCCTCCGTGCTGAAAGGGTTGGAGTGGCTTGAACTCTCCCTCGCGCATTCTACTCTGTCCACATTGCGTTCGGGCGAGCCGGAAGAGGAGGAGGAGGAGGAGGAGGAGGAGGAGAAGGGGGGGAGGAGGAGGAGGACAAGAAGGAGGAGGAGGCGAAGGAGTGTCTCCGGCAACACATGGCAAGCGCGTCGCGCCTCACTTGCCGTCTCCGTCGGCCTCCTCGGTGGTAAGGGGTTGGGCAACGTCGCGGGCGCTTTCGTAAGGAACATCAACAACCCACACCAGGATACACGGAATTGACAGGATCGCAGAAAACCCGATGCACTCCCCCAACCAAAAGCAGTAAAGAAAGAACGTAGCCTTGCTGCCAAAGGCCGTGGCCACAATAGCCATAAGACAAAACATCACCATGAATGCAATGCCAGTGGCCGTAACCCACAAAATGAGTGTACCTGCCTTAGTATGAGTCCCAACCTGCTTAGCCAGCAAAACCATGTGAGCAACCTCGGCCATTATAAAAACTATCACGACTATCCCGTGGTAGTCTGCGAACACGCATAGCGAGAAAAACAGGAAGAGCCCGTAGAACACCTGGAAGAAGGCCTGCGACAGTGTGAGGAGCTTGCTATTGTCGATCCTCTCCTGCGGCGTATAAGACGTATGCATTACGCACTCCATCAGCAATGGGTTGTTCCCGCCGTACATCCAGACGAACAGAATGGGGAAGGCAGTGACGGCGACCAGCGCGCCAGTGCCCGGAGCCGTTGAAATGTAATGGCTGATCGACCAATACTGTATGGATGTGGGCATGCATGCGGAATCTGAGAAGACCCCCTCCTCGCACGAGCAGGCCCACAAGGAGCCGTCAGCCCTGACGCGCCCGTGATCCTTGGCCCACACGGCGTAGTAGTCTATGTTTCCGCACTGTGTCTGCATTCCGTTGGCAGTGCACAGGAGAGCACCGTAGCCCAAAGTGTCGTTGAACAGCGTAGACCAGAAAGGCAAGCCGAACACAAATACTCGGGCGGGGGGTAATGGGGGGTGACCTACATGGGAGGTGAAGGAACGGGCCCTAAAGGGGCACTTCAGAGCCCCTTTTGGGCCCTGGCTGGATCTGAAAGGGGCCCTAAAGTGCCCTTGTAAGGCCCTGTTCTTCACCCCCCAATTAGGTCACCCCCCCATACCACCCGCCCGAAATACCACAAACATCATCCAATTCACAGTCATACAGGCCCGGATGTTCTTGCTCGGGGGTTGTCGCGTGGACTGCAGCGAAACCACCACTGCATCCACCTCCAACGCCAGTGTGGCGCGCGCGGAAGCCATCCTTTGCAGCCAGGTGGGAACTGCGTCTGTCAAGGTTTGCAGCGGCCGACTCTTGATCCCAAACAGATGGAAGGGAGGGGGGGCAGACTCCAGACCTCTGCTTAACGCGGCTGTCTGCAACAGTGCGTCCTCTGGGGAAGACCCCACCTGCTCGAAACAGGTGCCAAAACAAACAAGATCTACTCCATGGGGGGAGAGGGCCCGCCGTTTTGTCGCAGCCTTTACAAAAAGATTATATTTTGTGGCGACCTTACAAACTGATTAGTGTGCGGGGTCTGCAGTGGCCTTCACAATCATAACCCTCTCACAGCAGCATGTACGGAAATAGTTCCTTTTTGTGGCGGCCTTACAAAAAGGGTTTCAATTGTAGGGTGGTCTGCAGTGGCGGCACCTTGACCCCAGGAAAGCTAGAGAGGAGAACATGGACACCCAACAAACATAAAAACATGTTAAAAAAATGTGCGTGTCATATGGAATAATACGAAAAGGCTAGGACGACCTGCGACTGTCTGTATTTTAATGGCGCAGACGCCCCTCAATCAAAATCCGAGTGCAACAACAATTACTAAAGGATTCCTTTTGTGGCGACCATACAAAAGGACTTCGAGCGTGGGATATCTGCAGTGGCCTCCACACTTCGAATCCTCTCAAAGCAGCGTGTACAACATGGATTCAATGTGCGGCAACCTTACACACAGGGCTTGAACTGCGGGGGGATCTGCAATGGCGGCACTTTGGGCCCAAGAATAGTAAAGAGGACATCCGGAAAGCAAAAGCAAGACAAACAGGACACCGCCTGCGTTTTCACCGGAAAAAAACTAAGATGGCTTGGGGCAGCGATGGACCGACGCCAAATTTTAGGGTGGACTATGGGGCAACATTGCCTGTAAATTGCACGTCCCTTGGACGGGCGGGGAATCCTGGAGGGGAGCTCCCATATATATGTTCTGTCCCTGACATCTCTTGCTGTGTTCTCGAGAGCGGCCACTCGACAGGATGTCGACTCCTTAATCCTTTTTGGCTCTGTAGTTCGAGGGGGGCCGCGCTCGCGCCTTCCATGTGGCCCTGGCTGGCGGATCGCGGCGCCAGCCTTGCCCTCGGATACCTCGGGCGGTGCCCTGCTGCGCCGAGCTGCCCACCCTGCCCAAGCTGCAACCTCGCCTGTGCGCAGGTTGTGTGCCCAGCCGCGCCGCCGCGCCCGGCCTGCCCCGTGGGGGCCTTTTTCGGCGCCCGCGCCCCCTGAGGTGCCGGCCGCCCCGCGGGGCCCACAGGCGCCGCCCGCCAGGCCGTGCCCGGAGCCGGCGCCCTGCACGGGCTGGGCCGGAGGCTGGTGGTTTTTCCTGCTCGGCCTCCTCGCGGGCGTGCTCCTCAGCGTGCTCGCCCGAGCCGCCTGGCGGGCGGCACTGGCTTCCGCCTGGGCCCTCGCGGCTCCACGAGCGCGTCCGGCCGACGCGCCCTCGGCCCCGGCCCTGGCGGACGAGCTGCCGGCCCCCGCCGCCGCCCCTGCGGAGCTCTCGGAGGCGACGCACTCCTCGCTAAGGAGGCGGCATGGCAGCGCGCACGCTTGACGTGCTAGAACGTCAGATATTGGTGGACTTCTTCGACGACCCAACGGGTTCCGATGGCACATGCGGCTGCTGGTGCTGGCCACGCCGAACCCTGGGCAAAGGATCTGTTCGACGCCAGATCTGAGCATCCAGTTCATCGACGTCACGTCGCACCGCGTGATCCCGCTCACGCGGGACTCGGAGCTCCCGCGGCGAGTCAGGGGCGAGGTCTACGCCTTCGACCCTCGGACGCCCGAGGAGCTCCAGCAGGTCCGCAGGGAGGCGAAGGAGCTGCTTGCCGTCTACGGGCTCACCAGTGGCGCGGACGCGCAGCCGGAGGGCGGGCGGTGGCTGATCGCCGACCTGGCCCACCCGGGCTTCGGCGACGCGCTCCCTGCGGCGGCCCTCGCCGACGGGGACAGCCTCGTGCTTCGGGGCGACCACGGCCTCGCCTGCGTGGCCGAGGACTGGGTCGCCGTCGAGAGGGTGCTCGACGAGGACCTCGACAACTGGCGGCTCCTCAAGTCGACGGGCGCCGGCCGCGACAGGCGCATCCTGGGCGACGAGCGCGTCAACGGGGTGCCGGTGCTCTCCTTGACCGCCGCTGCGCGGGCCAGCAGCAAGGCCCTTCGGCCTGGCTGGCCTTTTCGCGGCGACGCCTGCGCCCCGGAGCTCGTCATGGCGCTCGTGGCCGCGGGGATCGTATTCATCGCGCACCGCCTCGACTGGAGGACGAAGTCGGGGGTCAGCACCACGTCGGGCGTCTGCAGGACGCACCGCCGCATCTGCGAGGGCCTCGACCAGGTCATCAGCTACGACCAGGTCGACTTCGCCAACTGCGCGGTCATCGAGCACCTAGCCCGCTGGCTCTTCGAGGTGGAGTCGGCGGTCAGGAGGAACCCCAAGGTCCCGGACTTCCCGAACCTCGACGGCATCTTCGCGGCGCCGATGGCCGAGGACGAGCGCATGCAGCTGCCGACCTCCTCCAAGTGGGTCTCCTCGCTCCGCCGCGGCGAGGCGCAGATCATGAAGCAGGAGCGGCCCTGGAGCGAGGAGCACGGCTTCGACCACTCCAAGCACAAGGGCAAGGACGGCAAGGGCCCAGGCCGCGGGGGCGGCAAGGGCTCCAGCCCCTCCGCCGAGTAGGGGCCTTGGGCCCCGGGGCGCCCGGGTCAACGGGGCAGGTTCTCTGGCGACGCCTGCCTCGACAACGCCTGTTGCCCGGGCGCCCCTCTTGTCGCCTTCTCCGTGCTGACGTTCCTCGTGGGCGACTGCCTGGACGGTGGGCGCCCCGACGTGAGCTACGGCACGGACGAGCTCGGCGGTCCGACGATGCTGGTGACGGCCCCCGTCCTGATCCAGCTAAGGACTACCGCACCATCCAGGGTCACAGTCACGGAGACCCCTTCCCCCTCCCGCTGTCTGGGGAGGTGTTCGCGCGCGGCGGCCATGCCGGGCCTGCATCGCGGTCGCGAGTGTTGCGCGTGCGCGAGGCGATCTGGTCACTGAACGCCCTCGACGCTCCATCGCGCGCCCTTCGGGCGCCTCGAGCCGACGCCTCACGGAGGCGCAGCGCTCGATCATCACGCGCGTCAGCCGGCGCATCGAGAATTACGGAGAACGGCCCGACATCCTGCCCGCTAGCGCCTACGCCGACCTCATCAAGAGCCACGACCTGTACTCGGAACAGCCGATGAACCTGAAGCCGTACGACCCCGACCTCCTCAAGGTACTTCATCGTGACCGCCACCCTCAGGAGCTCCGCGGCTGCCTTGGGACTGAAGGCCGGAGGTGCCTCGACAACGCCGACGAGCTCATCTTCAGGACCGAGGCCGAGCTGGACGCCCTCCAGGAGAGCGAGCTGATCCAGCCCATCACGCCGTACTGGGACTGGGACCCGATCCTCAAGAACAACCGCCGGGCCAAGATCGACTTCATCAAGCGCCTCGCCTCCGTGGGCCTCGTCGGGTTCTGGCTCTCCATCCGCGGCCGCATCGGCGCCTTCTGCGTGGGCAAGAAGGACTGGTCGCTTCGACTCGTCCTGGACGGCCGGGAGCCATCCTCGCTCCATAGGAGGCCGCCCCACACCGCCCTGGGGTCCGCCGGGGCCCTCGCCGGGCGCGACCTCTCGGATCAGGCCTTGCGGTCTCAGGGCGTTGACCCCCTGGCGGCCGACATTCACGATGCGGGTCTGGACCTCGAGGACGGGTTCTACCAGTTCGCGAACGAAGACCTCGCGGACTGGTTTGGGTTCAACTACCCGGAGGCCGCGTCCGACTTCGGCGACCCGCTGGCAGGTGTACATCCCCGCCGACGGCCGCTTCGTTCAGGTGTCGGGCGACACCCGGATCTTCGCGGTCTTCCAGGGCCTCTTGATGGGCTGGTCGTGGTCACTGTTCTTCTGCCAAGATCTCCTAGAGGAGGCCCAGTGCAAAGGAAAAACCTCAGCCTGGGGTCGGCTGACGGCAGCCGCCTGGTGCACGAGCGGTGCCCCGCGCCCTTGCTGGCGCCCGGCCGCCCGCTGTCCCAGCCCTACGTGGACAACGCCAACGTCATCGGTCTCAACTTCAGCGACACCGAGCACGCGCTGCGCGGCATCCAGCATGTCCTGGACTACCTTGGCATCGACTACCACGACCTGGTGGAGCCCACGAAGCTGTACACCACCGTCGGCGTCGTATTCGACACGACCGCACGCCGCCTCCGACATACGGAGGCCCGGGCCTGGCGCCTCTACCTCGGTCTGAAGCACCTCTTGCGGGTGCGTCGTGCCTCCGGCCAGGCCCTCCGTGTCGTGTATGGCCACCTGGTCAACCACTTCATGATCCCGCGGCCGGCGCTCGCGGCTTTGGACGAGGGATACCGTTTCATCGCCCAGCACCTGGATGAGCGGGCCCCCCTGGGCCGCCGCCTGCTGGACGAGCTCCGCGTGGTGAAGGGGATGCTGATGCTGGCCGACGTGGACCTCGCCGCCCCCTGGTCGCGCGTCGCCTACTGCAGCGACGCGTCGGGCGGCGAGCGGCGCGACTGGACCAGCTGGCCCCCCGCCGTCGCGGGGAACGGCGGCTACGCCCTCCACGGGACGGACTGCGCCGACGCCGAGGTCATGCAGGCCTTCAAGTACCGCGAGCGCTGGAGGTTCAAGA